TCTTTCTTTCTTTCTTTCTTTCTTTCTTTCTTTCTTTCTTTCTTTCTTTCCTTCCTTCCTTCCTTCCTTCCTTTCTTTTCTTCCTTCCGTCCTTCCTCTCTCTTTCTTCTTTTATCCTTCGTTCCTTTCTTCCTTCGTTCCTTCCTTCCTTCGTTCCTTCCTCTCTCTTCCTTTCTCTTTCTCTTTCTTTCTTTTTTTCTTTCTTGCTTTTTTCCTTCCTCCCCCTCTCTTTCTTTCCTTCTTGTGCACATGCATGTTGATCAGAGGAAATCTCATAGGAATATTTTTTTTGTTCAACATGTGGGTTCTGGGGATCGAACTAAGGCCATCACGCTTGACAGCAGGTGCCTTTACCAAGTGAACCACTTGACAGTCCCAACTATTTGTTTTTGAAGCTGTATCTATGTTTATATCCAAGGGCAGAGATCACATAATTTTATTTATTACCTATTTGTTCTCTAATCCCCCAGGTGTCTACCCTGCTGTCTCAAACTTAATTGGTGCTCAGTGATTGCGTGGTGACTGAACAATAATTGAGACACCCATTAATTAATCAAATAAATATACCCGCTAATAGGAAGTGTTCGTAAATATTGATACATGGGTTAACAATTTAAAAATATAATTAGACTATTATACACAGTAATAAAAACACAGACACAGTCTGGTGTTTCTTAGGAGATTTGCAAGGCATGCTGGAATTTCCTAGACATCCTTGCTGAGGCTTTGAGGATGCCCTTTTCAGGTCTCAGGGAGCTGTACTGGGCTGACGAAGAACACTGTCATTGTTTGGATGTGGATTGTGGTGCAGCTGGGGTCCTCTGATGAGATGGGCTTCCGCATGGATTGATGGGGGTGTCACGTATCCCAAAGGAGGGTGTGTAACAGCTGTGCGCAGAGACTAGAGTGTGGATGTGGAGCAGATAATGTCACAGAGCTTACTGTGAGCAAACACGAGGGTGCCTGTATCTATGGCAGGTTAGGGCCATTTATAGTCACATGGGGTGCAATGTGTACAGTGATGGGTGAATACTGACAACTGTCGATGCATCTATTATACACGTTTGTTTTTCTATGCATTGTAACATATAATGTAGCAATAGCTCCCATTGGTGCTGCCTGTGCCATCCCAGGGAGAGGCAAGAACTGAGGGAGAGCAATGGAGAAATACTGCTTAGAGGCTTGCTCCCCATGGCTTGCTCAGTTTACTTTCTTATACACTCCAGGACCGCCTGCTCAGGGGTGGCACTGCCCATCGCCGGCTGGACCCTCCCATATCAATCGTTAATCAAGAAAATGTCCAATAGACTTGCTTATAGGCCAATCTGAGGGAGGCAATGCCTCGAGTGAGATTCTCGTCTATTGAGTGATTCTAGGTTGTGTCAAGTTGACAATGAAACCTAACCAGGATAGGACCACATCAGCCAGTACAATGGCAATTAGATGTAGAGGGGAACGCTTTGGGCACCGGTGTGGTGCTGCTTGCCAATGTCCACAGCCTGAGGTTGTCCTCAAGGATAGGGAAGAGCTGTGTTGGAAGCATTATGGATACACTCAGACTTAGCTATGACTGTCTCTGGGATGATTAGAGCAGCGGAGAGAAAACTGATTCAGTAATGATACAAGCTGGGTATGGTGGTATACCCCTACAATCTCAGGACTTGAGAGGCTGAGGCAGGGGGATTGTTCCAAGTTCAGTTTGGGATACATAGTGAGATCCTTTCTGGAAAGAAAAAAGAATGGGGCTAGAAGTGGCTCGGCAGTTAGGGCATTTTACTGCTCAATCAGAGGACCCAAGTTTAGTCACTAACACCCACATCAGGTGGCTCACGACTGCCTGTAACGCCAGCTCCTAGGGATACAAGGCCCTTTACCAGCCTCCGTGAACACACCTACAAGTTAAATAAACCTTAAAAACCTTCCTCCCTCCAAAACTAAAAAGACACAAACAAACAAACCAACAAACCTTAAATTCATTGTGTGTGCTCAACACCAACCTCCAAATCTCCAAGGTTTTCTAATATTTCCCCAGAAACAAAGGCTCCATCTTGATGCCAAAGTGGCCATTTCCCTGCACCTGATAATCCTCAGCCATTTCTGCCTCTGTTTGGACAGTGCAATTTGCAGAGGATTATTTTAAGCCTCTCCCTCATCTTCAGTGGATCTGTGCTCTGGGCATCTGTAGATAGTAAACACACTGCATTTAGAGTCACTGCCGCTGGGGACTTTACAAAAGCTGAATGAGTCCGAAAATGAGGCACCTGGCCACGTATAAGCACTGGGAAGCAAGACAAATTACTTCATTTTTTTTTAAAAAGATTTATTTTAGATTGTGTGAGTGTGTGTGTGTGTGTGCGTGTGTGTGTGTGTGTGTGTGGTTTGTGTGTGTGTGTGTGTGTGGTTTGTGCATGTGTGAGAGCAGGTGCCCATGGAATCCAGAAGAGGGCATTGGATCCTCCGGGCCTGGGGTTATAGGTATTTGTGAACGGCCTGCCAAGGGTGCTCGTAAGTGTACTAGGGTCCTCTTGGAGAACAGCAAGTGTTCTTAACTCTGAGCCATCTCTCCAGCCCCCAGGTAGATTTGATGAATACTAATTGCCAGAAAGTGAAGAGACCTCTGTCCCACGGAAGGTTTTGGTAGTAGATGTATCTTTGAACAGCATGGGGAGTCTGTCATTTTCTGTTCAGGGCATGTGCCCCCCCCCAAGGGTCTTAAGAAAGCTAAGTTGTGACCCCGAATGACAGATACCATGTGCATCTTCGTTCGTTTTTGTCAACTTGACACAAACTAGAGTCACCCGAGGGAAGGGAATCTTAATTGAGGAATTTCTTCCCTCAGACTGGCCTTGTAGGCGTGTGTGTGGGTCATTTTCTTGATTAGTGAATGATTTGATGTGGGAGGGCCCAGACTACTGTTGGTAGTGCTACCCCCTGGTCATGTGATCCTGGATTGTATAAGCAAGCAGACTGAGAAAATCAGGGGGAGCAAGCCTGTAAGCAGTTTTCCTCTATGGCCTCTGCTTCAGTTCCTGCCTCCAGATTCCTGCCCTGAGTTTCTGTCCTGACTTCCCTTGCTGATGGACTATAATTTTGTAAGCCAAATAAGTCATTACTATCCTCGAGTTAATTAATTTTGGTCATAGGTGTTTATCCCAGCAACAGAGAGAAAAGCAGGGCAGCATGGAAAGGCTTGGGCCCAGTGCTCAAACTGTAGGGCAGGACAATGGAAGAATATGGGGACTGTGGGACTTTGGGTGAGTCCTGGTTTTCGGGTCCCTGTGATCTGAAATGAATGGCTTAGTATAAATTGGGAGGAGTCTGAATTCCATAAGCACCATCTTATGAGTTTGCCGTATCATGCGAACTGGTCCTGGGGTGGGAGCTGGTCCTGACTCCTTTGAGGGATGCCTACATACTTGTCCTGGTTCTTTTCCATTCAGTATTAATACATCTGCTCAGTAAGCCAACTTATTTCTCGGGAATGTTTTGGAAGAAAGGTTGGACTGATGTCCAAAATCTCACTCTCCAGGGACAGGAAGTAAAGAG